CATCATAACCCGAAGCACGCTGAAACCCCTAAACATAAACTTCAACCTTACATGTCCTAAACGATAGCCCTACTATAAACCTTAAGCCCGACGCACTGAAAGCCCTAATATAGGGGCCTTAACAAGTAGAATAGGGTTTGGGGGCCCATGATACTATAAATGCAATAAGGAGACACCAAAATAGTCTTGGTAGTTGTTAAGGCCTCTATATCATAGTACACTTATAGTAGCTCTTATCGTAACCCTAAGAACCCTATTCTAATGGTATGGGAAATGTTTGAGCCCCTACAGTATGCCCCTCAAATGGAACCCTCAACAGAACCCCTGAAGGAACCCTTAAAAGAAACCCTTAAACGAACCCCCAAAAGGAACCCTTAAAAGAACCCCAAAAGGAACCCTTAAAAGAACCCCAAAAGGAACCCTTAAAAGAACCCCAAAAGGAACCCTTAAACGAACCCCAAAAGGAACCCTCAAAAGAACCCCAAAAGGAACCCTTAAAAGAACCCCAAAAGGAACCCTTAAACGAACCTCAAAAGGAACCCTTAAACGAACCTCAAAAAGAACCCTTAAACGAACCCCAAAAGGAACCCTTAAAAGAACCCCAAAAGGAACCCTTAAACGAACGAACCCCAAAAGGAACCCTTAAACGAACCCCAAAAGGAACCCTTAAACGAACCCCAAAAGGAACCCTTAAACGAACCCCAAAAGGAACCCTTAAAAGAACCCCAAAAGGAACCCTTAAACGAACCCCAAAAGGAACCCTTAAACGAAAAAAAGAACCCCAAAAGGAACCCTTAAAAGAACCCCAAAAGGAACCCTTAAACGAACCCCAAAAGGAACCCTTAAAAGAACCCCAAAAGGAACCCTTAAACGAACCCCAAAAGGAACCCTTAAAAGAACCCCAAAAGGAACCCTCAAACGAACCCCAAAAGGAACCCTCAAAGAACCCCAAAAGGAACCCTTAAAAGAACCCCAGAAGGAACCCTTAAACGAACCCCAAAAGGAACCCTTAAACGAACCCCAAAAGGAACCCTTAAACGAACCCCAAAAGGAACCCTCAAAAGAACCCCTGAAGGAACCCTTAAAAGGAACCCCCAAAAGGAACCCTTAAACGAACCCCAAAAGGAACCCTTAAACGAACCTCAAAAAGAACCCTTAAAAGAACCCCAAAAGGAACCCTTAAAAGAACCCCAAAAGGAACCCTTAAACGAACCTCAAAAGGAACCCTTAAACGAACCTCAAAAAGAACCCTTAAACGAACCCCAAAAGGAACCCTTAAACGAACCCCAAAAGGAACCCTTAAACGAACCCCAAAAGGAACCCTCCAAAGAACCCCAAAAGGAACCCTTAAACGAACCCCAAAAGGAACCCTCAAAAGAACCCCTGAAGGAACCCTTAAAAGAACCCCTGAAGGAACCCTTAAAAGGAACCCCCAAAAGGAACCCTTAAACGAACCCCAAAAGGAACCCTTAAACGAACCTCAAAAAGAACCCTTAAAAGAACCCCAAAAGGAACCCTTAAAAGAACCCCAAAAGGAACCCTTAAACGAACCTCAAAAGGAACCCTTAAACGAACCTCAAAAAGAACCCTTAAACGAACCCCAAAAGGAACCCTTAAAAGAACCCCAAAAGGAACCCTTAAACGAACCCCAAAAGGAACCCTCAAAAGAACCCCTGAAGGAACCCTTAAAAGAACCCCTGAAGGAACCCTTAAAAGGAACCCCCAAAAGGAACCCTTAAACGAACCCCAAAAGGAACCCTTAAACGAACCTCAAAAAGAACCCTTAAAAGAACCCCAAAAGGAACCCTTAAAAGAACCCCAAAAGGAACCCTTAAACGAACCTCAAAAAGAACCCTTAAACGAACCCCAAAAGGAACCCTTAAACGAACCCCAAAAGGAACCCTTAAACGAACCCCAAAAGGAACCCTCAAAAGAACCCCTGAAGGAACCCTTAAACGAACCCCAAAAGGAACCCTTAAACGAACCCCAAAAGGAACCCTTAAACAACCTCAAAAAGAACCCTTAAAAGAACCCCAAAAGGAACCCTTAAACGAACCCCAAAAGGAACCCTTAAACGAACCCCAAAAGGAACCCTCAAAAGAACCCCTGAAGGAACCCTTAAAAGGAACCCCAAAAGGAACCCTTAAACGAACCCCAAAAGGAACCCTTAAACGAACCCAAAAGAACCCTTAAAAGAACCCCAAAAGGAACCCTTAAAAGAACCCCAAAAGGAACCCTTAAACGAACCTCAAAAAGAACCCTTAAACGAACCCCAAAAGGAACCCTTAAACGAACCCCAAAAGGAACCCTTAAACGAACCCCAAAAGGAACCCTTAAACGAACCCCAAAAGGAACCCTTAAACGAACCCCAAAAGGAACCCTTAAAAGAACCCCAAAAGGAACCCTCAAACGAACCCCAAAAGGAACCCTTAAACGAACCCCAAAAGGAACCCTTAAAAGAACCCCAAAAGGAACCCTTAAACGAACCCCAAAAGGAACCCTTAAAAGAACCCCAAAAGGAACCCTTAAACGAACCCCAAAAGGAACCCTTAAACGAACCCCAAAAGGAACCCTCAAACGAACCCCAAAAGGAACCCTTAAACGAACCCCAAAAGGAACCCTTAAAAGAACCCCAAAAGGAACCCTCAAACGAACCCCAAAAGGAACCCTCCAAAGAACCCCAAAAGGAACCCTTAAACGAACCCCAAAAGGAACCCTTAAACGAACCCCAAAAGGAACCCTCAAACGGAAACGACCCCACCCCAAAAGGAACCCTTAAACCCTTAAAAGAACCCCAAAAACCCTTAAACGAACCCCAAAAGGAACCCTTAAACGAGAACCCCAAAAGGAACCCTCAAACGAACCCCAAAAGGAACCCTTAAACGAACCCCAAAAGGAACCCTTAAAAGAACCCCAAAAGGAACCCTTAAACGAACCCCAAAACCCCAAACCCCAAAAGGAACCCTTAAAAACCCAAAAGAACCCTTAAACGAAAAGGAACCCTTAAAACGAACCCTTAAAAGAACCCCAAAAGGAACCCTCAAACGAACCCCAAAAGGAACCCTAAAAAGGAACCCTCAAACGAACCCCAAAAGGAACCCTCAAACGAACCCCAAAAGGAACCCTCCAAAGAACCCCAAAAGGAACCCTTAAACGAACCCCAAAAGGAACCCTCCAAAGAACCCCAAAAGGAACCCTTAAACGAACCCCAAAAGGAACCCTTAAAGAACCCCAAAGGAACCCTTAAACGAACCCCAAAAGGAACCCTCAAAGAACCCCTAAAGGAACCCTTAAACGAACCCCAAAAGGAACCCCCAAAAGAACCCTTAAAAGAACCCTCAAACGAACCTCAAAAAGAACCCTTAAAAGAACCCCAAAAGGAATCCTTAAACGAACCCCAAAAAGGAACCCTCAAAAGAACCCCTGAAGGAACCCTTAAACGAACCCCAAAAGGAACCCCCAAAAGAACCCTTAAAAGAACCCTCAAACGAACCTCAAAAAGAACCCTTAAAAGAACCCCAAAAGGAATCCTTAAACGAACCCCAAAAAGGAACCCTCAAAAGAACCCCTGAAGGAACCCTTAAACGAACCCCAAAAGGAACCCCCAAAAGAACCCTTAAAAGAACCCTCAAACGAACCTCAAAAAGAACCCTTAAAAGAACCCCAAAAGGAATCCTTAAACGAACCCCAAAAAGGAACCCTCAAAAGAACCCCTGAAGGAACCCTTAAACGAACCCCAAAAGGAACCCCCAAAAGAACCCTTAAAAGAACCCTCAAACGAACCTCAAAAAGAACCCTTAAAAGAACCCCAAAAGGAACCCTTAAACGAACCCCAAAAAGGAACCCTCAAAAGAACCCCTGAAGGAACCCTTAAAAGAAACCCCAAAAGGAACCCTCAAGGCCCCTGTCTCCGTCCCGTTGCCACCCGAGAGGCAAAGGACTTGTCAGCGCCCTGCCCGGACTGAACTCACGGACTCAGGGTAATTTAGGGGTACCTAGGGTTCCTATAAGGGTTATAAGGGCTACTATAAGAATGATTATACGGGAGTTTCCGAAGAGAGGGGCATCTTATTATGGGGTCCTTACAATAAGGATCCTACAATTTAGGCTACTATATTAGGGTCCCCTAGTTTCGGAAACTCCCATATGGGGGCCTTAATAATCTACCTATACTATTGTGAGGGTTCTCTATTCGACTTACAGTACAATGAACACTATTCGAATGATTAAGGCCCCGATGTTACTCTTGGAGGGTCAATTAGTTTGAGTACTGGTTGGGGCTATGCCACCTTTGTTCGAATCCAGCATCGTCGCAAGCCCATGCAGAGCACAACTCTCTCCTCTCTTCTTTCCCGGGGCATGAGGGGTGTTCGAAAGGGATGGGGGTTTGGGCATTCGACTTTCACAACTTGGCGAACCGAGCGAGGACTCAGTTTCGTGTTTGGGGTTTGATCTTTGAACTCTCGCAACTCGGAACACAAGGCGAGGCTGTTCGGGCCATGTGGGGCAAGCAAGGTACTTGGACTCTCACACTCGCACAAGGCAGGCAGGGCTCGACATGGGAGTTTCCGCAAATTAGGGGTACCTATTGTGGGGTCCTTATAACAAGCATCCTACTTATTTCGGGTACTATGTTAGGCTCCCCTATCTTCGGAAACTCTCACATGGTTCGATCTCCGCAGCGACTGTGAAATCATGTTGGAAGCAACCCACTCATTCAGACCATGACCCATTAATTTCGCTCCGCAGTCGCCGCACACCACTGACTTCGAATGCTTGAGACATTGCCCAGCTGTTTCCAAGGTAGATTCACTTCAGCCAAGTGTGAAACAGTTGGCCTGCTGGCCTGTCACTACCATGTCCGCATCCGGCACCTTCCGTGATGTACAAGGGCTTTTCGTCTAGGAGATTCTATGCTTCACACCCCATTGTGCCACCTCCCGGCCATTGCCGCCGTGGTGCCCCAAGCCTACACGCACTCAGCTAGCAGCCCGAAAGTGTCACTCTTTCGTGAAGCTTCCGGTGCAGCAGTGGCAACAAAAGCCTATCCACAGAAGAATGCCCCCGAAAGCACACATTGCCATACCAATAGGAACAAAAGCAATCAAGTACACTTGAGGGGGACTCTTGCTCCAGTAATCCCACCTGTCGACGACCCATGTGGCTTGCCCAGAGGTCACCGTGTAAGTGCCAAACTCTCCACCCATTTCGATGTGACCAGTTAGCTCCAACTGTGGCTCGGAACTGCCCCACGCGCGGCACTCAAAATGGACATCGTTTCCACTTGGCGAGGTGATGTGCAAGGTGCGGCAATGCTCGGTGCCGTTGGTGCCCCACTCACGCAGGAAAGTGAAGCCAAAGCGAGGCTCAATGGCCGTGAGGGTAAAGTTCTCTCTACCATCTATGACGACCTCACCTGTTGATGATATCTGGATGTAGAAAAATACGATCAGCAGCAGACATGTTACGAAGCCGGCCGCCACCGAGCAGCATCCGGCATACAACAAAAAATTCTTGCTGCAGGAAACCATCGAAGGAGGCTCTCCAGGACAGGCGGTCTCCTAAGTACGGGCCTTCATAATTAGAAAAGAGCTTTGGGGTCTATTAAACTATAATTATGAAGGAACCCCCAGACTAGTATGGGTAGGTATTTAGGTACCGATATTAGTGTTGCTGAATCCCTCTCCGGACAGTCGCTTGAGCCCAAAAGGTGTTCACGGTTTAAGAGGTGAGGCTTCGCATGGGGTCTAAGGTTCAAGGCCGCTCAGCGGTTTGACGTGATGTTAAGTTTAGGGTTTTTTTCCCTCCTACCTAGCAGTTTAGGGGTTTAGGGTTTAAGGGTTTAGGGACTGTTATGAGAAGAAACCGTACAAATACGCAGGATGACAATGATGGCATCAAGACTACCCGCAGTATCTCACAATAGAAGCAGCAAAGCAGAAATAGGCGCAAAAACTGACTTTGGGATTGTCACATCTACTCGTGATGTTTGCCAATCCTGGAAGCTGAGTCTTGCGGCGGTATTAGCTTGTGTGCCGGGCCTCTGATAGCCTGGCGATGTGCTCTTTCCCCAAGCCTTAAAGGACAGACAGTCCACCACCCTTGTGACACCGAACAAACCTAGCGGTTTAAGAGACCATCGCGCCTTTGGCATCCGACACTCCTCGTCCAGCAGTGTGAAAACACTCATCGACTTGGCTTGAATCAGGTCGATGATGCCCTGGCAAGGGTTTACGGTTTAGGGCCACAGTCCTAAAGTTGCTCCTATTACCTTGCTGTTGATATAGGATCCTTACCATGCAGTTGGTTGCCAAAGTCGGACGTCAACTGCAGATTGAAGGTAATCCTGCGGCTTTACTTTAATGAGGCAGGTCGTCTGAAGCATGTCTCAGTCTCAGCTCAAGCAACGCCTGGTTGTCTGGGAAGTCCGAGAAATCGCAGGTAATGCCCTCCTGCTTGTACAGCTCCTGCGGCGAGTCAAGAGTCAAGCATGTTGAGGCTTCAGTGGAGGCTTGTCTGCATTTCCACCGCATGAAATTGTACGGCCGGTCCATCTCCACTTCGAAAACGAAATGGTTGAACCTGGGTTCCCAAGACTCGACTGAACACTGCATGAACGTTCATTTATAGATGACGGTGGGTGGGCCGTATATTTCCTGGACTAGCAACCCACATAAAGAGCAGAGTCAGAGTTGGTTCGGCTGCAGTGGAAGGTCGGAGCTTCTGACGTCCTGTGCGTCCTCTTGGCTGTGCTTGCAAAAGGTTTGCAGGGAAGGCAACACACGCAGCAACCAGCAGATGAAGAAAGACAGCAACCATGACAGACACTTCCGCACATGAATCCGTTGTCCGTCGTCACCACATCAACATCAGAACCACAACCACCGCTACAGCAACCAGCACACCACCCAGTCACTGCCACTCTACCACGAAAACAATCATCTGCACAATGACGACTATGAAGGCAGCGACTTACTGCCGCCATCATCCCCTACAGTCATGTTTCTCCTTCGCGCCCGAATCATCTTCACCATGATCATCATCGGTGCCATTGCTGCCGTCGTCATCACTCTCATCACCATATATCACCCATCACAATCGCTACCGAAATGGAATAGAGGCCCTAGTTTCTGACGATATTGGTCGTGGTGATGGTCAGAAACTGCAGTGTCGCCATGATGACAAGTTGTTGGTGATGGCGCCTGTACGAGCCCTGTGTGTCTTCGCGCAGTTCAAGCTTTCGGGGGGTGCTATACCTCTATGTACCTCTCCTGCGGCCCTGCCTCTGACGGCTTTGTCTTTCCCCTCGACTGTGGCCCCCCTTCTTTCCCACTGTCAGGCCACTTAAAATCCCACCAACCCTTCTACATGGCCTGCGCGCCTTTTATCTTTCCTGACGGTATCCCTGGTTTGTGTGCGTTCAGTGACATTTCCGAGCGGTCTGGGGGGGTGGGGTGGGGCAGGGGTGGGGCCAAGAGCCACAGGACATGCGAAGCTCTTGTGCGCGCTGTGACAACAAGTGAAGGCGGCGGCGTGACTTCAGCTCCTGCCTCAAAATCAATCCTTGACCCTACCGAAGTAAGGCAAGTCTGGCAACTCAGGACTACGTCCTCGAAAACTCTATCTCACACAAAAGTGTTGCTAGGCCCCGAGTTAACTTGAGCCTCTAGTATTGCGCGCACCTGCCTGGACTTCATGCTTTCCTGAAATTGCGCTCTCGCTGCAGTTTCGCGCGAATCCATGTAGAACTCCTCATTCTGAGATGTGTAAAAACGCATAGGTGCATACAGGCGCCACAAGTTTGTGGTAGCAACTGCTGCTCTGCGGCATCTGCTGCAACCGCTCGTTGGCAAAGTTGATGCAAAGCTGCTCGAACGAGTTAACCTGGCATGCTCAAACATCCAATCTCGTCCCACCGAGGAGGCTCGGCGATCGCAGTATCCAGGCACTCTAGTCTATATAGTTTGTGCAGTTTGGGACCTTGAAACAACGACAGCAGGCATTGCCTTGAAATGCTCGAAGCCGAAGATGTCCAAGACTCCGATGAAGGACAACTTGGAAGTCGTGGAACCTTCTTTGCTGTGATTTCTCAACTCTGATACTTGGCGTGGGCCGAGTGAATGGGTAAGAAGTCAAATTCTGCATGTTTCGGCCTGTTCGCCCGGATGACAGGGACTCGTTGATGCGGTACACCATGTGATTCTTGGCAGGCATGACGGCACAAGAGTTTGTGCGTCGTTTGCACAGATGCGAGTGGCAACTTGCACGACAGAAGAACAGGGCACGAGGCCCGCACAAAGAGGTAAGAATAAATCATCCTGGCGAAAGACTCACGGCGTGCCTGGCAGGACAGGAGTGAGCTTTGATACTGCCACCGACCACTGATGGGCGTTGCTTGTCATGCCGATCAAACTAAATCGCACGAGCGTCATCCGCCTTGCACATACATTAACCTCCAAAAACTGCAAACCCTGTACTCGCTTTGGGCATGTTCTCATGGACATCATTGCTGCAGGTCTTTAAGAACCCTTTGCTCCAAGGCCTCGCACTGCTCACGCTCCAGGGGCGAGTCGTAGCGCTCACCTGGACGTGTAGAGTATCGGGGTCTAGAAGATCTAGAAAAGCACTTTGATGATCAGAATATGGCTTCGGCGTAGGATTAATGAGTATGATCCTACACGGGATTCCAACCCCAAGCTTGGTCAGATCATCTGGTGGTTGGTCCTCAGCCCGTACCATACTTCCTTTGCTCATGGTGAGACTGAAGGCGATGATAATACAGGTGATGACAAAGATGATGACGAAAAGCTTGCGTCTGTAAACACTAGCGTCAATGTAGCAACATCGGCGGCAAGTAGATACCGAGGGCCAGACTTCCGACAGCAATGAGCTTGTGTGTAAGAGCCCTGGCACACAAATACTGCAATCGACCGGTGGTTACAGTAGTGAGCGCTTGCGGCCCGAGGCAGGGGGACACAGGCAACCATGCAAAGGGGTGCTGATCTTGCACGCAACACGCAAGCCGTTCAGAGATCGGCTGTGCCAGCTGTGCCTCCACCTTAAACTCTACCCATAGCCCCCATAGTAGTTCCTTTTGGGGGTTCATATATAGAATTCCATAAGGTAATCCCAAAAAGCAACTACTATGGGGCCTCTGGGATTGACTCAACTGGGCAGTCGCCCAAAAGCGAGGGCGGCCTTGCCAGAGCCGCGGGCTGTATGCCCATGATCTCGCTCACAGCCTTCCCCGAGCACCCCGAGCCCCTGAGTTTGAGGACTCTTGAGGGTTTGGTTCTGATTCGACTTTCTGAAGTAGAGTATAGTATAAGCTACGATATACTATATACCATAGAATACATGCTATAATACTTGGTTTTTACGTTTACTTTATGCAAAGCAAGACATACCACATGTTCGTTCCAGCGAGGGCTTATTCCTCAAGGCAGGAAGCTCCACCCCAAACCCCCCTAGCTCCGAGAACGCAGGCCCTCTTTCAGCATGGGCTTGGATTGTCAACAGCAGGGCCTTCCACGCCCTTTTTGCATCGGGCCTTTACCACCGCCCGGTAATCCCCACATTCGCTTCCACGCCCTTTTCAGCATGGGCTTGAGCGCCCTGAACCTCAAGCCATCTCGCCGAAAGCCCAGCGGTATGGAACATCAGAAAAGTCAACCGCTAAACCCTATGACCCATAAACCCCACACCCTATAACTCCCCTAAACCCCAAAGCATGGCTCCTTGAAGGAGGGGTTGTTCTGGTCAACTTCGAACTTCCCGGCGACCTTCACATTGCGCTCTTCCGGCTGCGGGAGCCGCAAGGGGTTTGGGGTTTCGGGTTTAGGGTTGCGGGAGTGGAAGCGAGACACAGAAAGAAAGGAGAGAGAGGAAAGAGAAAACCGGCAACAAGACCGATATGCTTGATGGTCGAAGCTCCGACTTTGCACATGACATGGCATGCAGCTGCCGCGCAAGTGGGAAACAACTTCTCAGGGGCAGCGAATGGCGTCGCTTTCAGCCCTGACCTTTCAACTACGGCCTAGAAATCACGAACCTTGAATCTTGAGGTTGGTGCGATCGGAATGTGCCGCCACTTTCTCAGCTAAGCTCGCTTAACAGGGATCCGGGCAACTGAACGTGCAGCTTTAGGGCGCCTATATGTGATGAAGACATGAACACAGGTATACACACGTAGATTAGGGAACATATACAAGTGACATAGGTTTATATGTATATACAGACACATACATATGTATGCAAGAGTGCTATGCAGAGACGGTGGAAGAGACTGTAGATCCAAAACCCTAAACACAGCGGCGGCCAGATGCGGCCAGTCCTTCTCGACGATTGTGAGGTTGCCTCGGGGAGCAAGGTGCAAGAACGACCTATGAAGCTGAATGCGCGCAGCCGACACGAAGAGCAGCAGGTGTCTAAACCTACAGTGGTGATTCAATGCAGAATCTACTTCGACCATCTGTGTTTGCATATGGCTCGTCTTGCCGTTGCGATATGCCAACGCGATAGTAAACTGAAGACTCGCAGACAGCGACGTCAAACTCGGAGCGGAAGTAATCCAAAGACTCTGAACGCTGGCCTATGTGAAGAACCGCCGCTGTGATGCGGAAGATGTCGGCCTGCTCCACCCCTTCTCTCAGCCTCTATCTTTCTCTGACTCTTTCTCGATGTCTGAAGTCGTCGGCCCCAATGCAAGTGCCGCAAACTGGCACTACAGCTTGACAAGATTGCTCAATAGGATAAGAACGCGGGAAATAAGGAATGTAGTGTTAAGTGGTTTAGGGTTTAGTGCTCTTCGGTCAGGTTTGTGTGGCACACCACCGTTGCTGCAATGCTGGCTGGTCTTATGGGGCAGCCTGCTTGATTGGACTTCGCAGAAGGCAGGTCCAACCAATATCGCATATCAATCTTCTGCATTCTAGAAAACTCATGACATGAACGCTAATGGCATCGGCACGTATGGAACCCTGTCGAAACCTGCTTGCTGGTACATCAACAGGACACAAACGCTCAGCTTTGCTAGTCCGGTCAAAAGGCATGGGTCAGGATCTGTGTCATCAACCTCTCCCTTTTTTGCTCTCACCTCTCCCGTCATCCCTTCGGCACCTCCCCCGCTCGGACACTATAGAGCTCAACATCTGAAGCTCTCAACCGCTGAAACCCGGGTTCCCACCTGAAATCCATGAAACCCGAGCGGCACGTCAAAACTTCAGCCCTGCGTCCTTCCCCCAGCCCCCGAAACCCACCCTAAGTAGGGCTTATAAAGGGCTTAAGCATGCCCAAGCGGGTCATGTTCGTTTCCCGACCCTCAATCCTAAACCCTTGCAACCCTACAAGCCCTAACACCCTAGACCCCAGGGCCCTAAATCTCAACCCCAGGCCGTGCCGTGCGTGCCTGCTCCTGTGGGGGGATGTCCATGGCCTCCATGGACTTCCTCTCGGTTCGGCGCTCACACTCGGACAATCCAGGCGAGGCATGTGGTTCTGAGTCTGACGAGTGAGACTTCACTAGGAGGAAGCGGCTCTATCGCACTAACAAACATATACCAACACCTAAAGTGACTGTGCCTGCCGACTCATCCTCCCCTCAGAGTCCTATCAGTTTAAACAAATGACCACTATAGGACTGTGAGGTTGGCAAGGAGAGGTTCAGGGTTTCGGCGCTCACACTCGGACAATCCAGGCGAAGCAGAGGGTTCCAGGTCTGTTGAGTGAAACTGCACTAGCGGGAGTGTCAACACAAGGCTGTTTAACGTGGAGCAGCACTCCGCTCTCAAGACCCTCCATCTTGCAGAGCTGAAAAGGTCAGGGGTTAGGGTGTCGAGCCGTGTTTTGCTCCCGGATTTGGTGCACTTCCGGCTTCGTTTCCGTCACTCTTTTAGGGGTTCTAAGCCCTATCGCCACCTGGTCCTGATCATTCACAAGTTGCACAAACGCTTGGGGCTAACGGTTGCGGGTGCCTTGCAATGCGCTTTCAAGGGCCATCTGATGTGCTCGGGCCGGTTGGGTTTGGGAGTTGGGTGTTCACGGACTGGGGTCCGTGGATGTCGGCTTTTTTGGCGGCCCGGCGGCTCTTATGAAGTAACTTAGGGCTGCTTCTGGCCTCATGATTTGGAACTCCTCGGCATCGTCGACACCATCCAGCCTGTGGCACTCAAGCGGTGAGGGGTCCGAGCTTGAACGCTGAAGCCGCAGGGAGTGGGGGAGTGGGAGGGCGTCCAAAGGTGTCGTAGTCGTAGTGGGTCGAGGGCCCCTGAGGAGAATGCTGCACTCAACCAAGTACTCGCCCCAGCCAGGAAATCTGAAAGACTCACTACACCGAAGAAAATCACGAGAAAGGCGAAGTCACAAGACAGAGAGAGACACCATGCAGGGCTTTGGGACTAAGCTGTCGAAGGAAAATAGCCCTACCTAGGGCTCTCGGAAAGCACTTGTGCCGGACATCGTGTACAGCAAAAAAACGCCTCAACCTTGCACACGAACCAAACGTTGAATCTGACTACAGCACATGACTACGGAAGTACTCAAAACCAGCAAAACTCCGAAAGCCGAAAACCGTGAGTCGGAAGCCAGGGCGCTCAAAGCGGTCCGACTGCACCAGATATCGGAAGTCCTGCTGGCGCCACATTACCGGCTTCCAGATGAGGCTTCCATTGCAATATCAATCCCGGAGCTTCGATCTTCTAAGAACAGAACCCGACCCAATCTTCTTCAGACGCGTACACCGCCTTCTTCAGACAACTTGCTACAGATGAAGATTTTTGACTTTAACTGACGAACACATCCAGAGGTCCGGAGAAACACAAATCGCACCCTGCGCCCGTGCCGGGCACAACACAACACATGACAACACTGCAGACTCAAGACTTACAGTGAGGTTTATATGAACTATATGCATACAGGGACTATCAAGGTATCTGTTTGTTGATATTTCGAACCAGTGTATATTTCCACACCAGACGACCCGGCTTGGAGGGTTCGAACCTGGGCAGAGCGGAAGTAGTCCATCGGCAATCCTTCAAGGTCTTGCCTTCGCTGGCTTAGGGCTCTGGGTTCAGGGTCTCGGCTTCTTTCCGGAGCCAGCCGAACTCCGGGATGATTCGCGTAAATAAGGCTCGGAAGCCTGCGTGCCTTTGGTGTTTGACATCGGTGCGCAAAACCCTGTGGAACCCCCGAAAATAGTGTAGGCACTCTGAGCTGAGGCTGATGGCCCATGCTGGCGGACCTGTCCTTCTTGGATCAGCGCCGATCTGGAACTGGAAGCGCTCCCCTATGTTACATTCGCGATTCTGCAAAGCTGGATGTCTAGTTCAAGGTTGGGATAGGATTAAAAATTGTAGTTTTTATTCCTTATTGGGTTTAAGTACCCATAAAAATGTAAAATGCTACCCAACTATGACAAAGATGTTATGACAGAGCGAAAGCCGCTTGTCCCAAAGAAAAAAGCACCTGTCGGATGGCTCCTGGTTAAAAAAAACCTATATATTGTAATACATCCTCTAAAAACGGAGGCCCTTCCAAAACCCCCAGGCCCTGAGCCCTAAAACCCGAACTTTACGGCGATTGGAGGCCCAGCTGCGGGTCTAGATTCGCAGCTGCTGCGCAAGCCTTCCGCGGCCGAATCTCTACAGCTCCGGGGTTTACGGTTTAGAGCTTTTGGGGTCGGGGGTTGAGGTTTTTAGGGCTTCATATTGTGGGGTCTTAGGGAGAAGGGTCTGGGGTTTGGTTGTGGTGGGTTGCCATGAGCAACACTTCTACGGCCACCACAAGTTAGCACGACGGTTCTGATGCTTCTGAGGCCTACTGGTACTATGGAGATTTTGGCATGCTTCGTCAGCATTTGTTCTCTGACTGCTGCAATGATCGTTCCGAATGCTGGAATTCTTAGGGATGCTACAACTGTTCCGACAACTACGAACTCCATCGGCGACTCAGCTTGTCGGCTTTAAATGCATCTCGTTGGAAAGGTCACTGTGCTTGGTGACTGTGGGTGTGTTGACCACCACGTCGCCTTCGCCATCCGACTGTTGTGACGTTTATGGAATTGATAGTTGTTGAGATGGTCGTGGTTCTTCCAAGTACGCACGCTTGTTGTATCTGTGGTTATCAAAACGAACCGGCTCTTTCGCGGTGGTTTCGATCCTCCCCTTCCAAAGCCGCAAGCGACAACAAGAGCAACGAGTCAAACCCGATTAAGTTCGTGAGTAAAGCAGACAGGGCGCGCCGGTTGGCAAGTTCCGATGGTTCCAAGGTATTTCAAAGGGTTTTAGTGCTCCTTCCCCTCTCCTGGCGATTCAAGGGTTTTGGGTGTTTTGTGGGTGTTTTGGGGGCTTTCTGGTCATGTGGGCTTGAGGTGGGTCGGAAGATCAGGAAGACACTTGCATTGCGGTGTGCTGGGTTTGACTTTCGGGCAGATGCACAGGGTAAGAGGCGGGAGGGGTTGGACCGAGAGCAAATCTAAGTCTTAGCAACCTCCAGGGTCCAGGTGCATCTTGGGAAAACATCATGGCATGCCCATGCCTGGTAGAAGATGTGGTACGACCTCTCCTGATGTGGGGCACCCTACGCAGGCGCAAAACGTATACGAGGGATTTGCACCAGGGTCCTGTTTGTCGATCTTTGTCACGCGCACCTTCTCCAGCAGGTACCTGGCTGCATTATTCCCTCGTTCGGCACGACTGACCTGTCCAGACCTTGAAGTAAGATGGGATCGAAGCGATCAGGCCGGGTTGGCTGGGTGATCCTGTATACCATACTATGATGCTCTAGGGACCTAGAACTACACCAAGGAGCTGGTGTGCCTGCATCTCCCTCCTTGCAGAAAAGAGACGTTTCGATCGCGGCATTTGAGAACGACGGTCCATGGCCTGAAGGCAAGGAGCTTCATGCTGGCGCAGCAGCAGAAACACTGTACAGACGTCCCCAAAAGACAAAGACGATTCTTTGGAGCATGAAGACTAGGACTAGGGTCAGGTCACGACTTCGAAGAACCCCTACAGTAACGGCCCTAAAGGCCGCACGCCGCATCACGCGGCCTCCAGCAGCTTGGAATCGGAGTTCGATGAACTTGCCGAAGCGAGAGGAGTTGTTGTTTCGAACGGTGCATGCCTTGACACAGAAGCCCCTCGGCTGATCTTATGTGGGAAAAATGCCTCCTAGACCTCAAGGTAACCGAGCAAGGTGCGTTGCCGAAAGCTTCGAGGATCGGGTTCGAGCTGAGCACCTGCGCCCAAGCACCACGGAAAGGTGACGGCAAGAGATTCGGGTACAAGCAGCTGATCATGGAGTCATACAACACTTCCAGCAAGCGTGGTAACTTGCTCTTGCCAGGCCTTTTTCTCGGTTCCGGAATGTACGGACGGAGTCTTCCCTCGGCGATAAGCGCAGCTTGCAAAGCCACGCTTCTGGGGTCAGGGTGGGGGCCGACTGGGAGGATCGGGGCAATGTGTCTAAAACGGCAGGCAGCAGACCCGCTTCGCGATGCTAAGAGCACTGATGCAGCCATCAGGAGCTCGACAATCGCAGGTTCTTACCTTTGGTTGAGTAGGGAATGGAAGAACGGTGGTAATAGCAATCATAATTGTACCCCATTCCTCCATTCCCTACTAACCAAAGGTAAGGGTTGAGGCTCCCACCGACTTGGCTTGTCTTGCCCTTCTCCTTGCTCTTGTTCTCGGAGAGCCTGGGCTACGATCCGCACCAAGGGATCGCCTGCAACTTGACATCTTCAGCTCCATAGCTTCGGCCGACTCCAGCTACTACCTGGACCCCGAAAGTATATAGAATAATAGCCTTTTATAGGTTTTGGGCCATTATTTTACCTACTTTGGGGGGTCTAGGTAGTACCACGGCTTCTAACATCAGCCGAGTTGCTGGGACGTCAGGAATTTCAGCACGTGCTTGGTTGTTTCCGTCCTCGGGAAGCAAAAATGTCATCTTAGTATCGTGACGAGGAGAAACGTCCGCTATAGCCGATGGCGCAGAAACCATGGTCGAACCGAGCACATTGTACACTGCTGCCACAGGATCCCAGAGAGGAACATTAGCAAGCTTACATAAATCGTAACTTGCAGTTGCTGTTGCTTTTGCTGCTGCACGGCTACACCCCCTTACGACCGCCACCCACCACACAACTACGACGACGACTACGACTACGACTGCGACAACGACAACAACGACTACTACGGCTACTGCGGTGACTACAACCAATGCGACGACGACGACGACTAAGAACAACTTTTGCTACACCTGCCACTGCTACAGCTCATGCTCCTGCTACTACAACTACAACTACCGCTACAACTCGCAACCATCATCGTCCAAGTCAGCCACTTCCCCGCTCCGCTCTCACCGCTGATCAGGACGACCTCCCAAGGTCACAGAGGTCGGCAAGGACTTCTATGAGTATGGCTGCCGCAACTCGTACAGTTCAATTCATGTTGCTGTTGCCGTGATCGGGGTCATGATCGTTTGTGGTTGCTGCTGCCTGTCGCGTTGTGACAGCTGATAGTCTCCCTGACAGGGAGTCGGCAGTGCCATCCGATTCATGAGCACTCACATATTTAACCTGATGATCGTGTTCGTGGTGGCGATGGTGGCGGCGGCAGCGAACCTCTAGAACAGCCAGAGCAGATAACGACATTGAAGAGCAGAACAACCACAGCCACGGCTTTCAATTCAGGACTTCGAGTACGCACTCTGAGAACGCAATGAAGGGAAGACATACTTCTCAGTAGTGCCAGCACATAGAGCAATGCATTAGCAGTGATGCATGTATGTACCTGTATCCGCAAGACTGCAATTTATGTGTATACACATAATACACACATATACATATGTGTATGTGTATGTGTATATGTATACATATATGTAAATACGTATATATACAATTACACAATGATGATCATGCACACGTCATCTGTTTCCGAACATCCGTGCCTTTTGACACCTATTCTGGGCTCCTTTTTAGATGAGGGTGGTGAGATTATGCAGAGGCACGCACACACACACACACACACACTCGCAGAGACACTTCTCTGTCTGTCTCCTCATCGACGTGCCTGTGACTGCTTCGCGTTCGAGAGTCCGTGGAAGGCCCTGGAGGCAACGGCGTAGATGTGCGGCGGCGGCTTGGACAGGTCCTTCATGAAGCACCCTGTAACGCTTCGGCTTAGGCATGACCTTGGGGCATGACTTCTTGGGGCAAAGCTATAGACTAAGTGTTTAGGGTGCTTCGTGCTCGCATCTCGCAACCGCACACGGACCGTACTCAACAGCAAGAAGCTAGAGGAACAGACCCCATACAACATCCAGCTTGGTGGTGATAAGTTCCGGCTTGGAGTTTCCAAGGCTTGCCGGTCGGCCCCACCATGCCACACAGCTTTCAGCAGGAAGGCATACTGTAGGGTATGAAGAGGGTTGCATCTTCCTCCCAGGGGTTTAGCATGCTGACATGTGGACCCGTATTGGGTAAGCCGGGTAAGCAAGCTAGCAATAACATGACACAGATTTCAATAACCGTACGAGTAGCAATTCCTCTGATGTGATGCAGCATGCCAAGGTGTCCTGAAACTTCTTGTCGTTCACGCTGGCCTCCGAAAATAGCAGCGCGGTAATCCGTCAGAATCTCCGCAACGCATGCAGTGTGTCGGTGTTGCTTCCTGATGACCTCTTGAACTTCCATTCTACGTGCTGATATGAACTCATGTCACTCATCCACCCCTCATGCTTGAGCCCTGCCGATCGAAATCAACACTCACCCTCGTAATATGCTGCCGTGGTGCGTAGAGTCCCGGAATGTCTTTGAACGGGTTCAAAGCCTGCCAGCCCGACGCCCCTGTCACGCAGCCCCGCAGCGTAACTTAACCTGACATCCCTCTTCAGCCCGGTTTACTGAAGTTTACTGAGCTTTTTGCCCCGCAACCTCCCCTGAAAGACGTCTTTCGCAAGCCGGGTATGGCCATTGCCCCGGCACGGGGCTTAGGGCTTAAGAATAAAGGAGCTGGGTCCTGGCTGGACAACTTCCTAAACATGGTAGAAATGGTACCCGGGCAGTCCCACCATCTCATGAGGCGAGTTACAAACTACTGGTGATGTACTTCATTCTCTTCTCTTGGAGTGTCGTTTCAGGCTGACGACAACCTATACTTTGTCTATGGTTCAAACTAGGGGTCACTTGTAGTGACATGCCTTTGCATCCAAGTCTCGATAAGTATCGGGCCACAGAACGTGTAGATCTGATCCTGGGTCCGCAACGTATGTAAATCGAATCTCCTCTGCAGAAAAACCCCAGTGGCCGGTCGCAATGCCCTATCCCAGAAGAAACAAGTCCGGCCCCACACCTTGGCAAGATGAACACACCTCAAGACGGTTGTCACCATCCTCAGCAACGGCACTCCTTCCGGGACGAACCCCGAAAGCCCTTTCTTGAATCCGGAGCTCGATCCTATTAGAAACCCTTTTGCATAAAATCCGCCCCCCCACTTAACCTGGGCTCGCAGGCGTTCGGGCGCAAAGCTTCGAGTTACGGGGCTGCCAAGAGCTCGCCTATGTTCGGGCCCTGATAATTACAACACTACCAGGGTCTTTGGTTTAGGGTTTTCTTTCCCTCCTACCGCCTAGCAAGGACGAGGCCCGCATTGCAGGGAATCTTGGTTGAACAGCTGGACAGAACCGTGGTTGTGGGGTTTAGGGTTTAGGGTTTCGGGGTATACCATACTGTTAGTGTGCAGGGATTGCAAGCGGATCTTACTACTCAATTTAAGTGATGATGGTCGGGACTACCACCTACCACCTTGCTATCGCTCCAGACGGCTAGCGAAGCCTACACCTAATTTCATCTCGCCAGGATCGAAAACACCAGAATAATCGCTCTCGCAACACTTGCCCTGTTCACTGCAACATCCGTCGTCATCATCATCCTGGTGCCACATTAGGGCTTCTGAAGCGGCTGCCAGCGCAAGCAATTACAAAGCAAACGCGACAATCGTAATAGCAACGATCTGAAAAGAACGAGCAGAACAGACATAGTTTGACAGCTTCATCCAAGGGAGGGTCTGCAAGATCGGCTCGACACACTCGCACTTCAGTGATAACGACCATCATGATCACGGAAGCCAATAACATCCCGATAAAACTTTCCTCCCAGGTGCCACATCGAATCGGAGGTGTAAGGCCTGCAGGACCTGACAAGATATAAATCAGAGGCAGCATTCGGGCTTTGGCCTTAGAGGGTTTTTGGGGGGGGGGTTTAGACGGGTTTCGTTGCCACCCGTCCAGCTTTAGACGGGTTAGAGTTTGGAGTCTCGGGTTTAGGGGCAGGTCTTTGGAGGGGTACCCAGGAAGTTTGCAACAAGGTAGCTTCAAAGGATTTGGGCGTAGGCTCCTCATAGCACTACTCCCCCCGAAGGGATGAACTCCATAACCGGATTAGAACCTCCGAAGCTTAGGTGTTTTGGAGGACAAGCCTGGGAAACCCCGTGGTATCTGGCCTCCGGCTCGTGCAAATGTGTGAGGGAGGAGAGGTCGTTGACCTTGGCATGCTTGCTCTGCAAGTCCAGTTTAAACAAAGCATACTACGCGCTCCAAAACAAACATGTGAATGAAATGTAAGGCCCTCAGGAAATAGTGCGTAGCACATATTCCGGCCCCCTAGCTAGGCCTTAGCCCCACAGTTTTCTCTTCGGTGCATCCAAGCAGCACCTGTTAATCCTTCCTTGGACTTCCAAGTATCTTCGTTACCTCACGGGCTTTTGGGTTCTGAGTCTCGCAATGACACAAGGCAGGCAAGGTCAAGGCTTTGAGGCTTAAGTTTAAGGTTTCGGGTAGGTTCGAGATTGGCCTCAATTCGCTCGCAGTGAAGATAGGTGATCACACATGATGTGAGCTAGGCTGCCGGGCGATTTTGAGTATAGTTGCAGTTCATGAAAAATCTGGGGCAGCTAGATATGAAAAACATCCGGATATGCAGAATTCTCGAAACCTGGAGCTAGTACATGATGCACTGGGACTACGGGATTTCAGGAGGCCCTGTGCTTCCAGGGGCCACCACAGAATGCCATAACGATTTAAAGCTTTGGGCTTCGGGGCACCATAACATACGTGCCATACCACAGTGGCTTCGATCTGCTGTGGGTGGGTTGGAAACGATCCAACTCTGGAAGGGGCCCGTGCCCCCATACTGCACCCTGCTGGTTGTAATTCAAGGGCCAGACCCTCGCAAGCTTCTGTGTATGGGTACCTCTAGACCGTGGGGGCAACTGACACGTTTCCAGGAGGGTGGCCTGGCTTTGGCCTTGGAGGCCATGCCTAGATAAGCCCACGCCAAGTAGCAACGCAAGATCTTGTCCGCCTGGGCCGAACGTACATCCAAAGGACAGTAGCATATCCCTATATGTGTTCCAACCACCAGCACGGTGACCCACGCAAATTCTCCTCGTCTCGGCCCAATCATCTACATGATCGCGAATCGCCACCAGCCCAGCATCACCATTCTGAAATAATATCCTGAAGATTGATGCCACATTCACCCTCACAACCCGCACTACGCAGACTGCCATCATAATCACTATCCGTCATCACCACCATCAACATCAACCTGAACATCATCAGCATCATTACCAACAACACCGTCAACATCATCGGATTATCATCATGATCGCCGTCAACAGCGACATCATCATCATCATCATGATCATCATCAGCAGCAGCATTGTCATCTTATCTTCTCATCACCAGCGTCATCATCATCATCATCATCATCATCACCATCGTCGTCTTCGCCATCATGGCGGCGATCACCCGCAGACACATCATTCAGGACCACGACACCATGATCCTGGCAGTTGTTCCGTCCTCATCTTCATCAAAGGTATATGTTCGGTCTCCTTCACATCATGAAAATCAGCCTCGTCATCGGCACAATTATCTGCACCGCCGGAATAAAGATCATGGACGACGATAGTGAAAGCTTCAGAACGAGAACTCATCTTAAACAGTGAGTATTCTGTAAGCCTTACAAGAGAAGAACGACAGCTAGCCCTAGTCTGGAAATGCCGAACCGAAGGCACCGCCCCTGCACCGCATTTCTACCCTGCGGAGGACTACTGGAAACGTGCATGTAGGGATACCATGAGGGTCGCTATCCTATCCGGGTGTGTCTCTGTTTATGCGACATATTAGAAGGTTGCCATGTGGGCTAAAAATTGGAGTCCTGTACTTCATCTTGCTTGGACCGGCCACTGATGTCAGCATAAAGACTTCGCCATCATCAGTTCTGACCTGGCCACCAAATGCGCACCGGCTAGGCCAGGAATGCGAATGGGCTACAAGCGTGATGATAGGAGTTATGACCCAAAGTTCAAGTCGCTCCACATCTCAAAAAAAAACAAAACTTTCCACAAGACTTCAGCGCGGCCCTTCGGCCAAGTGTATTCGCCAGTATGGTTCGGTTCGTGTGAAACCGGCTTTTTGAGCTTCCGTGTTTATGACGGCGAGGTAGTTAGAGGTAGTTTTCCGTCCATTAGTTTATACGCATGCAACCAAGAGCAAGCATTTGCAGAGCAATCAGTGGGGCAACAGAACTTCTGCAACTGTGTCAGCATTGTGCTACACAAGTCGGTAGAAGGCAGGGGTGGTCCACTAGGCCGGGGCGAGCAGTGTCGGTACTCGTCATACTCATACCCATATAGGCCCTGAAGTAAGCCTATTGATAAAGCCCGTCTTCCTGGCGCCTGAAGCTGAACACCCCTTTAACTTTCCTGCGGCTGGATGATCAAGATTCCCCTAAAGGAAACCTTCTGAAAGTCCGCGAGTGTACAGCGCGACCCCCGATGTCGGAGACCATGTTGTATGATAGGTCTATGCCAACATCTAAAGTGCCAAACAGGCCGCGGCTAGGCCGGCCAAATTCCTCCGGTGAAACATTTAACAGGACGGAGAGAAAGAGAAAGCGCGACACAAGAAAGACGGGGACGCAGAGTGGGCCATGATTGAAGCCTTTTGTTTATAGTTTGGGTCGGCTGACGCCCAGCCGTTACCCTTCTAGAAGTACTGAATGCACACGGCAGTACCCTATTCATGCCCTCGTGCCAGTATAGTACACTTATCGAACAAGTCTAGTCGTAACCCTATAGCCGTCCGAAGGTCAGGCGCCTGAACATTGGACCCATCGATGGACAGGACCTCCGCTTTCACCCACACCTGACCGCCATCCTTGTCCTTCACCTGGGCAAGCAACAAGCACTCTTTCTACTCGGACGAGCATTTAGGGATTGGGCTTTCTTAGGCGTGAGGCCTAAACCCTACACCGTTTCGGGTTGGGGCTCAGAGGGGCGGTTCACGCACTAAGTTACACCTTTCATTCCCCAATGCCTTGAGCGGCCAATTACCTGGGGCCTGGGGTCGCTGAGATGCATAGGAGCCCTACGAACTCACCCAGACACCCTTTGGGTTCAGACTCAGAGCACCAAAGATAAAGATTTAGTATAGCTGCCGAAATTATATTCTGATACTACTTTGCTGGCTCCTTATGAGAATTATAGTAGACGGGGCCCCAAAACCCTTTAAGTAATTAAGGCTCCTACATCATCCCCGGGCTCTTCGAGATAGAAGGCCTGCGATCGAAATCACTCGAGAGCCCACTTCGCCCTTCACATAATATAGAGGCATTGATATATAGTTAGAGTAGGGTTCCCTTTAAAGGGGTCTATAAGGGCTACTATAGGGGTACTACAATACATAAAAGCCTCAATAAATAGAATGGGGTTTTGGAGTTTACTATAGTTATAATAAGGAACCCCAGTAGGTAACTATGGCTCATGCCCCCAGAATATAGTACCCTTATACAGATCCCTTATAGTAATCCATACAGACCCCTTTAAAGGAACCCCCCCCCCAAAAAAAAAAAAATAGCACAGGTAATTTAAGTATTTATTCCCTGTATGTCTCGGCTCCGAGCTCCTGTGGAACCCTAAAAAGGCCCGGGGAGTAAGGGTGCTTCAATCCCAAGTCCCCAGCTGCAACATCTAATTTGGGAGTTTCCGAGAATAGGGGACCCCAATATGGGTGATCTAGGCTACTAGGGGCCTTGATAGTTAGAAAAGGGGTTTGGTCTCGATTCTACTCTAAATCTGCCATTGGCGTAACTAGAACAGGGAACCCCTCGGGACTAGTATTGCATGCTAGTTGTTCAGGCTTTTATACCATGTCATGTCACCACGAGAGCCTCCCAAGGCTCCCACAGAGTTAAGGGGTTCGGGGTTCTAGGATTTACAGTCTAGACTAACGCATATAAAGGCTTGCATCGTGAGTAATAGCATGCCAATGTAACCCCTCTTATGAATATACATGCTACATGGTAGGATACCCTCAGGGCTCTATTACAATCATTGCAGCGCACGAGCGAACACTCCTTAACAGCACAGCCTTCTTACCGCGGGCTCAGGATGCGCACTTCACCCCCAACCCCTAACCCCCATGCCTGGAACCCCGAAGCCTAAAACCGAAACCCGTTTTGCATCCAGAACTGTGATGAAACTGAGGAGATCAAACCCTAAACCCCTAAAGCCTGAAACCCACAAACCCCGTAGCTTCAGCTCGCAATATTAACAACATTATCCCTTTGTAGCCCCGCTGTAATGCCGCGCTAAGCCCGAAAACCTTTCAAGAGCTTCTTTTGATCTCTTTCAAAGACCACCTAAAGTTTTGGTAAATTTATCCCTAGACCCCAAAGCCCCTATACCCTATAAACCCTAAACCCCTCAACCCTAACAGTAATCCTCCCAGCTTCCGCTCCCTGGGCGGCCGCACCCAGACCAAGGTCCCCGGCTCGAGGGGCGATCCGAGAGGGCTGGGCCTTTCAAGCTCGGTTTTTTTTTTTTTTGTTGAACGGCCCTTTTCCTCCTTGCAAGAAGTCCGAAAGCAGTCGCCTGCTGGGCGTGTGGTTTAGGGTTTAAGGGTTTTCCCCTTCCTACCTAGGAAGGACGAGCCCGGATTGAGGGTTTAGGGGATTTGGCTGTGCATATGGGAAGTTCTCTGAGTTTGTGTCTTTGTTTAGGTACCCAAACTAGTACGGTGGATCCTAGAAGGGATCTTAACTTAGAGAACTACCCACATGTACATGAAATATTCCTGTCAATATACTTGAAGTATAACATCAGAAAAAAAGCACACCCTAAACACGTGATGTTATAGGGCGCCAAAGGTAAACGGCTGTCTACTCAGCCCCTAAGTCGCATAACAGCTGCAAGCGTTGCTCTACATACCTAGACCCTCCATCTACCCTCTATTAAACCCTAAATGCCCGTTACTTGGGGCCATATACCCCTATTTGAGGGTACAAGGAGGGTCCTGGTAGTCTTCTTGCCGCGGCAACTGCTAGGTCGCCGTGTGTTTCTGCACCTAGTCTTGTCAAGCTAGACGAGGTCTCATTCAGATTCGAACTCTTTATGTTGGCACTCGTGGCTGTGCCACCTTGATGTGTGGAGTCAGAAACCACATGAAAACGAAACACCATCAAGAAGCTGATGACTTGGTAGGCTACGCCTCAGTCACACCACAGCGATGTGCACCGGGCTGACAGACTGACGCTTATGCTCATTCGCCATAGCCACGAACCAACAGCAGCCGGGTCGGGAGCGCAAGATGCGATCGGTGGATCCGGTAGCTCACTTTTTGGCAGGCCAGGCGCTCTAGCTCTATTGGCTACAGGGATATGGGTCGGAGGCTGGCGTCCCACCAGCACAACTCCTCACGAGCCCTCGCAGGCTCTACTAAACAATTACATGATCTACATGTAAAGGAGACCCTTCAAAATCTCCATGTAAGAGTCTTCCGGGTCCAACGGTTCTATGGAGCCCTGAACACACAAGACCGAACCTTGCCAGTCCCACGTCCAGAAAGCCATTTAAGTTTAAGGGACTTCTTTCACGCATAGTGCGTTGGGCAAGTCCGCAGCCCGGAACGAGCTTGAATTCAACATCGCAACACCTTGTTATCGAACATTATATGTCGGCCTCCATGCGTCGTTGAACGGAATGATCCTCATGCTCTTCACCCTCGAACTGTCGTAAATGACAAGCTCGTCTCCATCGCCAGGGTCGAAGCGTATCGAATCATACCCGGTCTGGAGGAACTCCTGCTTTGTCCACTTGTGGCCGCAGCGGGGGCCCTCGTACTTGATGCGTCCCACATCCACCTTCGCCTCAATCATGCAGCCGCTCTTGGAGTCGTTTCCAATAGCCTTTGTCTTCGTCGCCTGAGGGGACAAGGCAAAGTAGATGGCTCCACCGCAGTGGCCATCTGAGCCTGGTCGGAAAGCCGACCTGACAATCAACTTGCACACATCGGGGCTCGTCTGGTGGAAGCCGGTTACCATGTTGGTCTGAGTCTGAGTTGGGCTCGACGACGGATTACGACGACGCCGACGGCGACTGTCCGGTGTTTGCCAACAAGTGCCATAGTCATAGCAGCAATTCCTGAACCGACCGCAGTCCTTGTTGCACTGGCATTGGAACTCGGGATGATAACTGCTGCGGCAGCCGTAGTGCCAGCAGCCGACCCCGCCAGTCCAACTTGCCGCGGACTTGAATGACGGGCGGAATGCCGTCGCGTTGCTAGGATTTGCCCCAGCTTCTGCGCTGTGTGGGGTGTCCTGGCCGGAGACATTCGGAGGCAGCAACAATGGCTCATGGAAATCTGCTTTCGTGGCGAGCGAGTCGTTTGCCCTGCCAGTCTGGTTCGCCTTACGTGCGACTTTCAAGCCTGCTGAGCCTTCCTGAGACGAGCTGCGATTTGGGTTCCCTGCACTCTGGTTGCCTTGCCGCAGATTGCGGCTTACCTGAGTGTTCAAGTCGCCCCTCACAGTCTGGCTGAGGACCAAGCACAGCAACGCTTGTAAAGCCAACGTAGACGCGCGAGACATTGCTGCGTGGCCACTACGTGTACAGCCCGACGATGTGTCCGATCTTTGGCCGAAATGGCTACCGGAACAAACTTCACCGCGACCTGCTGGTGAGTAGATCAGAGTGCATAAGTCGCAAGTCTGCAAATTTTCGGGTCACACTGCTTTGTAAAGGCTGCAACATCTGCACGTACGGCCAAGATGCTTCGTGGATCTGCAAAGCACGAGACGCGCTTTTTGGCACGCAAGACACTCTAGCTCTGTTGGCTACAGGGATATGCGTAGGATGCTGGGGTCCCGCCAGCGAAGCTCCTCAGGAGGACTTTCAGGCTTTACATGCTTTACATGTAAAGGAGACCCTCCAAAATCTCCGTGCAAAAGTTTTCCGGGTGCAGGTTTTTAAGGAAACCCTGAACGCACAAGACCGAACCTTGCCAGTCACGTCCAGAAAGCAATTTAAAGGACTTCTTTCACGCATTAGTGCTATGGGCAAGTCCAAAGCCCGGAACGATCTTGAATTAAACATCTGGCATCACAAAACCACTCATCGAACATTGTACGTCGGTCTCCATGCGTTGTTGAACGGAATGATCTTCATGCTCTTCACCCTCGAGCTGTCGTAAATGACAAGCTCGTCTCCATCCCCAGGGTCGAAGCGTATCGAATCATACCCGGTCTGGAGGAACTCCTGCTTTGTCCACTTGTGGCCGCAGCGGGGGCCCTCGTACTTGATGCGTCCCACATCCACCTTCGCCTCAATCATGCAGCCGCTCTTGGAGTCGTTTCCAATGGCCTTTGTCTTCGTCGCCTGAGGGGACAAGGCAAAGTAGATGGCTCCACCGCAGTGGCCATCTGAGCCTGGTCGGAAAGCCGACCTGACAATCAACTTGCACACATCGGGGCTTGTCTGGTGGTAGCCGGTCAGCAGGTTGCCTTGGGCTGGGCTCCTGCGCCGACGGCGGTTGTCCGGTGCTTGCGGCGGTGGCGGTGGTGGGGATGGAGGGGCACGTCGACGCCGACGTCGGCTGTCCGGCGCTTGCCAACACTTCCTGCCATAGTCATAGCAGCAGTTCCTGAACCGAACGCAGCCTGGGTTGCACTGGCAGTGGAACTGGGGATGGAAGCTGCCATGGCAGCCGTAGTACCAGCAGCCGACCCAACCAGCTGCGGACTTGAATGAGGGGCGGAAGGCAGTCGCGTTGCTAGGATTTGCCGCGGCTTCCGCACTGTGCGGGGCGTCCTGGCCTGAGACATTCGGGGGTAGCAACAAAGGCTCATGGAAATCTGCTTTCGTGGCGAGCGAGTCGTTTGCCCTGCCAGTCTGGTTCGCCCTGGGTGCGACTTTCAAGCCAGACGAGGTTCGATTCGGGCTCCCTGCACTGTGGTTGCCTTGCCGCAGATTGCGGTGCACCTTCGTGTTCAAGTCGCCCATCACAGTCTGGCTCAAGACCAGGCACAGCCATGTTGATAATGCCAACGCAGACCAGCGAGACATTGCTTCGTGGGTACTCCCTGCAAAGCCCGATGCGACGTACGATCTTCAGCCGAAACGGCTGCGACCATGTTGGGCTTGGATCATAAACTTCACCGCGACCTGCTGGTGAGTTGATTAGAACAGGGTGTATTGGTTTCATGCTGCCTGTAAGGATACCCATGCACTTCATGGATCTGCAAGGCACGTGACACGCTTTTTGGCACGCAAGACACTCTAGCTCTGTTGGCTACAGGGATATGCGTAGGATGCTGGGGTCCCGCCAGCGAAGCTCCTCAGGAGGACTTTCAGGCTTTACATGCTTTACATGTAAAGGAGACCCTCCAAAATCTCCGTGCAAAAGTTTTCCGGGTGCAGGTTTTTAAGGAAACCCTGAACGCACAAGACCGAACCTTGCCAGTCACGTCCAGAAAGCAATTTAAAGGACTTCTTTCACGCATTAGTGCTATGGGCAAGTCCAAAGCCCGGAACGATCTTGAATTAAACATCTGGCATCACAAAACCACTCATCGAACATTGTACGTCGGTCTCCATGCGTTGTTGAACGGAATGATCTTCATGCTCTTCACCCTCGAGCTGTCGTAAATGACAAGCTCGTCTCCATCCCCAGGGTCGAAGCGTATCGAATCATACCCGGTCTGGAGGAACTCCTGCTTTGTCCACTTGTGGCCGCAGCGGGGGCCCTCGTACTTGATGCGTCCCACATCCACCTTCGCCTCAATCATGCAGCCGCTCTTGGAGTCGTTTCCAACAGCCTTTGTCTTCGTCGCCTGAGGGGACAAGGCAAAGTAGATGGCTCCACCGCAGTGGCCATCTGAGCCTGGTCGGAAAGCCGACCTGACAATCAACTTGCACACATCGGGGCTTGTCTGGTGGTAGCCGGTCAGCAGGTTGCCTTGGGCTGGGCTCCTGCGCCGACGGCGGCTGTCCGGTGCTTGCGGCGGTGGCGGCGGTGGGGATGGAGGGGCACGTCGACGCCGACGTCGGCTGTCCGGCGCTTGCCAACACTTCCTGCCATAGTCATAGCAGCAGTTCCTGAACCGAACGCAGCCTGGGTTGCACTGGCAGTGGAACTGGGGATGGAAGCTGCCATGGCAGCCGTAGTACCAGCAGCCGACCCAACCAGCTGCGGACTTGAATGAGGGGCGGAAGGCAGTCGCGTTGCTAGGATTTGCCGCGGCTTCCGCACTGTGCGGGGCGTCCTGGCCTGAGACATTCGGGGGTAGCAACAAAGGCTCATGGAAATCTGCTTTCGTGGCGAGCGAGTCGTTTGCCCTGCCAGTCTGGTTCGCCCTGGGTGCGACTTTCAAGCCAGACGAGGTTCGATTCGGGCTCCCTGCACTGTGGTTGCCTTGCCGCAGATTGCGGTGCACCTTCGTGTTCAAGTCGCCCATCACAGTCTGGCTCAAGACCAGGCACAGCCATGTTGATAATGCCAACGCAGACCAGCGAGACATTGCTTCGTGGGTACTCCCTGCAAAGCCCGATGCGACGTACGATCTTCAGCCGAAACGGCTGCGACCATGTTGGGCTTGGATCATAAACTTCACCGCGACCTGCTGGTGAGTTGATTAGAACAGGGTGTATTGGTTTCATGCTGCCTGTAAGGATACCCATGCACTTCATGGATCTGCAAGGCACGTGACGCGCTTTTTGGCACGCAAGACACTCTAGCTCTGTTGGCTACAGGGATATGCGTAGGATGCTGGGGTCCCGCCAGCGAAGCTCCTCAGGAGGACTTTCAGGCTTTACATGCTTTACATGTAAAGGAGACCCTCCAAAATCTCCGTGCAAAAGTTTTCCGGGTGCAGGTTTTTAAGGAAACCCTGAACGCACAAGACCGAACCTTGCCAGTCACGTCCAGAAAGCAATTTAAAGGACTTCTTTCACGCATTAGTGCTATGGGCAAGTCCAAAGCCCGGAACGATCTTGAATTAAACATCTGGCATCACAAAACCACTCATCGAACATTGTACGTCGGTCTCCATGCGTTGTTGAACGGAATGATCTTCATGCTCTTCACCCTCGAGCTGTCGTAAATGACAAGCTCGTCTCCATCCCCAGGGTCGAAGCGTATCGAATCATACCCGGTCTGGAGGAACTCCTGCTTTGTCCACTTGTGGCCGCAGCGGGGGCCCTCGTACTTGATGCGTCCCACATCCACCTTCGCCTCAATCATGCAGCCGCTCTTGGAGTCGTTTCCAATGGCCTTTGTCTTCGTCGCCTGAGGGGACAAGGCAAAGTAGATGGCTCCACCGCAGTGGCCATCTGAGCCTGGTCGGAAAGCCGACCTGACAATCAACTTGCACACATCGGGGCTCGTCTGGTGGTAGCCGGTCAGCAGGTTGCCTTGGGCTGGGCTCCTGCGCCGACGGCGGCTGTCCGGTGCTTGCGGCGGTGGCGGCGGTGGGGATGGAGGGGCACGTCGACGCCGACGTCGGCTGTCCGGCGCTTGCCAACACTTCCTGCCATAGTCATAGCAGCAGTTCCTGAACCGAACGCAGCCTGGGTTGCACTGGCAGTGGAACTGGGGATGGAAGCTGCCATGGCAGCCGTAGTACCAGCAGCCGACCCAACCAGCTGCGGACTTGAATGAGGGGCGGAAGGCAGTCGCGTTGCTAGGATTTGCCGCGGCTTCCGCACTGTGCGGGGCGTCCTGGCCTGAGACATTCGGGGGTAGCAACAAAGGCTCATGGAAATCTGCTTTCGTGGCGAGCGAGTCGTTTGCCCTGCCAGTCTGGTTCGCCCTGGGTGCGACTTTCAAGCCAGACGAGGTTCGATTCGGGCTCCCTGCACTGTGGTTGCCTTGCCGCAGATTGCGGTGCACCTTCGTGTTCAAGTCGCCCATCACAGTCTGGCTCAAGACCAGGCACAGCCATGTTGATAATGCCAACGCAGACCAGCGAGACATTGCTTCGTGGGTACTCCCTGCAAAGCCCGATGCGACGTACGATCTTCAGCCGAAACGGCTACGGCACCGATCCTCTCACTAGCAGAGTTTAGAGTCTAGACTTTAGAGGTCGGCAAGACGGCAGATGTGCGAGTCAAACGGCGTGGTAGTAATGAAGCAATGGCTGCAGATTTGACTGGAAACTGTGTTTGCTAGGCTTTGGAGCTTGACTTCTGCGGGTGGTCCGTATGTAACTGTGTGTGTCAAGCGCACGCTCCCCCTCTCAGGCAGGAGCACGGCCAAGCTGCTTCGCTTCATCAGCGTCTTCATGGCTTTAGAACCCTGACAAGAAGTACATGCGGGGATGTCGCAGAGAGGGTGGATAGGCTTAAAGCGTGTGTATGCCGGCACAGGCTGAGCGCAAAATCTGCATCTAGGCAGGCGCACTGTAAGAAAGCATGCTGATGACGTAGCCGAGGACGCAAAAACCAGCTGGCTTGTGGCACGAACTCGTCTACAAACAACGGCTGCGGGTCGCGGGCGTCGTGCAAAAATCCAAGAGGGCAAGAAACTATCGTGCTGTCAGAATCTTGCTTGTCTCTAAAGACTCTGATGAATACTGATGAATCAAATGTCTGGGGCACTTGCTTGAGGGCGTAGTCTTGACAGGCCCGGGCTAGCGAGATTCGAAGATTCTCGCCTGAGCTATGCACGAAGGGACCGACCTTTCGCCAAACGTGTTTGAGCAAGGAGCCCCCCCTGCCTTAGCAACAGAGGAGCGAGTGTTATTATCGCTTTCCGCTCAAGGGAGCACGGCGAAGAAGTGCGCCGACACATGACCGCAAGCTGTGCAGGTCTACGCAGCCTGATGGTTTCTGAGACGATGGCAGAGGCGATTTGCAATCGCTGCCGCTAGCTGATTGTTGGCCTTGACGGGGTAAAAACCATGGGTCTGCAGGGTTCGGAGGGCTTCGGCTTGGCCGTTATCAATCTGAGAGCCAACGTACTCCAGGTAAAGGCGACTACTAGGTTGCTACAGGGATACTTACAGGTTACTCGGGAGGCAAAGTTGGGCTCTTGAGGAGGACACTTGGGTCTTATTTCAAGCTCCCTGCAGGTTTGAACTTCTGAAGCCCGAGCCTAAAGGCCGTCAATAGCCCTTGGCCATGGCAAGCGGATCACGCGAGCCCCTTAAAAACACAAGCCGAAGCCACTTTGCACAACAGGCAAGGGGTCTCCAACCTACCTCGTCACGTCCGCCTTGGTGAACTTTGACGCTCGGAGCTCCCCTTCACAGAGTCCACCCCGAAATGCGGAACCACCAAGACTGCGAAGAAAAGCTCAGCCGCGCACCAGCTGCCTGGGTGTGAGGGGCGAAAGCAAGCCACCAGGCCTCGACAACGGTTCTGTGAAGCAGTGGCAGTGGCAGTGCCAGCAAAGCTGGTGGTGGCGGTGGTCGTGGTGGTGGTGGTGGTGGTGCTGGTGGTGGTGGTGGTGGTGGTGGTCGTGGTGGTGGTGGTGGTGGTGGTGGTGGTGGTGGTGGTGGTGGTGGTGGTGGTGGTGGCAGTGGTAGCTGTAGCAGCATCTGCAGCTGCAGCAGCAGCAGCAGGAGTAGGAGTAGGAGTAGGAGTAGGAGTAGGAGTAGGAGCGGGAGTGGGAGTGGGAGTGGGAGTGGGAGTGGGAGTAGGAGTAGGAGTAGGAGTAGGAGTAGGAGGAGTAGGAGTAGGAGCAGGAGCAGGAGTAGGAGGAGTAGGAGTAGGAGGAGTAGGAGGAGTAGGAGGAGTAGGAGGAGTAGGAGCAGTAGGAACAGTAGGAGCAGTAGGAGGAGTAGGAGGAGTAGGAGGAGTAGGAGTAGGAGTAGGAGTAGGAGTAGGAGTAGGAGTAGGAGTAGGAGTAGGAGTAGGAGTAGGAGTAGGAGTAGGAGTAGTAGTAGTAGTAGTAGTAGTAGTAGTAGTAGTAGTAGTAGTAGTAGTAGTAGTAGTAGTAGTAGTAGTAGTAGTTGTACTTTCACTTCACTTCAGCTCGCAGCAGATCGGATCCGCTATGCGTGTTGGCATGCTTGTGCATGGCAGCTGAGCTGCATGACGACGTGTTGTCGCCACCCATCCTATTCACCTCGACTTCTTGGCACCTGAAAAACACCAAGTGACTAAGGATACCCGTGTAAGAGTGCATCACTGAGTTGTGCAAGAAGTCTTGGTTTACCTAGCCGCCCCTAAGGGCCTACGAGCACTAGGCTGAACTGTTTTTGCAGAAGCCTGCTCGAGTACTAGCTGACTAACTCCTTTCAGCCGAGGCTGGGCGCATGAACAGAAGATAGGCGTTTCGCATCATCAACAGAGCATCATCTTTTTGAGGAACTACGGCAGGTTGCCTATCATCTGTCCACCACGCTTTGCCTGAGCCGTCTAAAAGCAGAGACCTGTAGTGCCCTTGGCGAGGCGTGGATCCCAAGTGGATCACTGCAGCACTAAGCAAGTACGGTTTCTGGGTCAGGCGGCCCTCGTTCCAAGTGGGAACTGTGACCGTACGAGGGAGGGTTACAGCAACTTTCGACTTGGTCACTACGCCCCGCACCGTACGGAACCTGTTCAGTTGAAGCACCAGGCAGGATGTACCTGCTGCAAGGGCTGGTGCATTCTCTTGGGCATGCCAGCTGTTAATGACGCTTTGCAGGGTGCACTGACTTCGGTGCTGTGCGAGCTGTGCCAGATCAACCTGTAAGGACAGAGGGCAGATGCCACCGCAGTCCAGGAGGCAGTTATGCTCTAGTGTTGCCCAAGAGCCCTGAAAACACTGCAGCGGACTTGCCTGGTGGAGAAACCCCAGAAACTCTGCAGCATCTTGTTGCCTACCTGTGTCCGGCCAGTGGCGAAGAAGCCTGCGCCAGAACGGTCGGCTCCAAATGTGGATGGGTGAGTCACCCTCAGAGCCTGCTGCAATGGCGCTACGGATATCCTCATGGATCCTGTCGCTCAGGAGTACCTCAGTAGGATTGTGACAGGCCGCTGTCCAAAGGCTGGACAAAAGGACAGTGTTGGCGTAGCAGTCGCTGGCATGATTTGCTAGGCTCAGGCTTCTGATTTGCCTCAAAGTGACTTCCGGAGCTCCTGTGCAATGGCCTGTGCCACTGGTGCGCGTCCTCGACGCTCTCTGCGCAGCGTTGTGGCTGTCAGTTGCAACGACGCGTTTCCAGAGAGGTTCTCTAGAATAGTCCACATGCGATAGGCTTTTGCATCGCGGAGTCCTAGGACTACCTGGAAGGTGATGGCTGCCCCCGTCATTCCCGGAACCAATCGGCGATTTGGATTGTAATTGATGAGGACGCCGTCTTCTTTGCAAAGCACTATTGTTTCTTTGAGCTGGTCTATGATCTCCTTGGCCGTGAGTGGTGCCACATGATTCTCCGGTTCGAGGGCCCGGCTCTGGGGGTTCCAGCGGACATACTTGAAGCAGTCTGGCTCCGTGAGTATGCCCAACCTCAACGCTTCCTGGCGGTGCGCCTGGTCGGAGGAAAGCTGGTTGATTCGTTCGATCATCTCGGAGGCCCAGGTCTGCCATAGAACCACTCTCAGCGGTTGACTGATCTGGGAGGGGTTGGTCTCCTGAAGGCGATGCCACTCCTCTGCAATTCGCACCTGCTGGTCCACCACCGTGAGGGGAGGGGCCGTGCCCTGAAACATGATCCATTTGGTGGATTGTTCCAATCCGTTGATCACATCGGTGTGCCTCATCAGCAACTGTGCCACCTTGAGGAGTAGCGGGTCTGAACCCGTAGAGCTGGAGGCCGGATTGGCCGGGGGCTGTTGCGGGTGGGGCATCGGAGCGGCTGCTCCTCGTGGGTACTGCCGTCGCTGGTGTTTTGGAGGTGCTTGCTGCTGTCCTTTGGCCGGGGTCCTCTGTCCCTTTCCTCCCTGTCCTTGGCCCTTGTCGTTCTGCCGGTGGAACTTGTGGGGAGGTGAGGCTTCCTGAAAGGGCTCGATGTGCTGCAGAGGGCTGGTGTGTGTCAGACTGGCCTGGTGCTTTGTGGGAACCTCCGTGCTCGGAGGGCTGAAAAGAGGCCGTGAGGGGTTTGCTGACTCCCATTGCTGAGTCACTGTCGAGCCGAATCGGGAGCCTCGAAGGGCCATGGTCTGCAGATGCTCGAGCTGGGCTGCCGCTTCCTGAAGCTCCTCCTGACTGACGCCGTCCAAGTCCATGATCAGAGCGAGACTCCTCATGGACGGATGCACTAACAAGAAGCTCAAGCATGGAGGACCACACAATCATTCCACACACTCGTTTTGAGGGTTGGATCCTTGGGGGCTGGATCAGGGGGGTTTGAAGGCCAAAACCAATTTCCTCAATAGTGCAGTTCAATATACCGAGTTAAGGTTTCAAGCTGTTGTAGTATTAGCTTATTTATGTATTTTATTAGGAATTTCAGTGCCGGGGGCACGGCCGTTGACCAAAACATTTTAAAGCACACTGGGAAGCCAGCGTGAGGAAAACCTTTTTTGCCAAACATTTTTGCATTTGTCCAAGCCGGATGTATTGAGCGATGGTGTTCGCTTCTGTCCAAGCCGGATGTGTTGGAAGCTGAAACGTGGTCCTTTGTCACGTGCCACTGCTTGGTTGGCTTGGTTGCTTGGTTGGCTTGCTTGGCTTGCTTGGCTTGCTTGGCTTGCTTGGCTTGCTTGGCTTGCTTGGCTTGCTTGGCTTGGTTCGACTCGCCCTACCCATCCTGCACGCCCCAGCTCAGAGTGGTCTTAGAGACCGCTCCAGTCGGGCTCGGACCACGTGAGCAATGGGTCCTTGATCCGTGCGGGACAGTGTCGCTGGCCGGGCGCTGGGGATTTACTCTGTGTGCTGCTCGCCTGTCCAGCCAGGTGGTGTGTCCGCCGCGGGGTGAAATGCACACAGATTGCAGGGAAGGCCTCGCTACTATTAATAAATACTATGCCACGTACCCACACCACGGTCGAACTATTAACTTCGATCACTGCTGCTTGCCGGCATGGCCCCGCATGGCATCTTATGCTGTGCCTCATTGACAGGTCTTCAGTAACCGGCGCGTTGCGCAGCGATTGCGGTGCACTCGATGACGAGCATGACCTGTCCTCTTGCGGGCCGGTATGCAAGGCAATTGGATTTCAGCGCTCCGCATAGGGCAAAGAAGGCAAGCACGACGTCCAAGGCACTGATTTGCCGGCGCATACTCAGCAGGGTGACCCCATCTTGGCCGAATGGGGGTGGCATTTAAAGAAGTCTCCAGTCCGCATGACTGTCAGAGCACACTCGTGTTTGCCAAGACGCTGGGGAGGCCGTTACTGTGTCGGCATGGCATTGCTTGGCTTGGTTGATTCGATTCTGCAGTGGCATCAATTCTGGTAGCATCAATCAATTGTGGTAGTCAGCATGGCATTGCTTGGCTTGGTTGATTCGATGCTGCAGTGGCATCAATACTGGTAGCATCAATCAATGTCAATGGTGGTAGTCAGCATGGCATTGCATGGCTTGATTGCTTCGATTGTTGCGGTGGCATCTGATTCGATTTTGCGGTGGAATCAATTCTGATACCATCAGTTCTGGTAGCAGCAACTGTGGTAGTCAGCATGGCATTGCTTGGCTTGGTTGATTCGATTTTGCAGTGGCATCAATTCTGGTAGCATCAGTTGTGGTAGCATCAATTTGTCAATTGTGGTAGCAACAATTGTGGTAGCGCTAATTGTGGTAGCATGATTTGCGGTAGTATAACTATTGTGGTAGCATCAATGGCAAGGTCTGCCTGGCATGTTTTGACAGAGCGGGGGGGGGGCAGGGCTGGCATGAAATTTGCATTTTGCCAGGTGAAGTCGTTTCAGAAGGCATGTGAGTGATATTTGCGCGGAAGGCTCAGTGAGTGTGTGTGTGTGTCAGCTTGCTTGGTGATTGATTGTGAGCCCCTTGTAACCTAATGCTGCAGTTCTGGCTCAAGTTGTGCTATGTCGAGTGTGGCCCTCCAGCATCTCCCTGAGGAATTGTGTATCGAGGAGCAGGGCCAGGATCTCCGGAAAGCACAGCAAGCAATCTACTTGCTCTATTTGCTCTGCCCGAGAAAGGCTGTTGATCTTGTGACACCTGCAGTACATTTCAGACAATTTCCAATTGAGGATAATTTGCTACCTGACATGTCATTGTTTCAATGCAACAACATTTGAGGAGAGCTTTCAAACGGGGAAGAGACGGCATCCAGAAACCAGAAGCCTGGATTCTGTCAGCCTGTAACAAGAACGTTAGAGAGCACTTTGGCAAATATTGATGCAGCCCTTTTTTTTGGCGCTTAAGCTTTCATCATTACAATTCCGTGTTCATTCGAGGCACAATCAAAGCTTGGGGATAGTATACAGCCAATTCGATGTCGGGAACTACGGCAGCAAGAAAGCAGACGCCTCAACGAAAAGTTCCGGTGACTTGGGGCGGGGCAAAGAAGAAGACGACTCGGACGATTGGGGACGCAAGCGGAAGGACCCCGAGAGAAACAAGAGACCACGAACCGGCTATTGATGCTACTGATGACGATGTGAGCTCTATTGACAACCCGAGCTCTTCGGCAGCTGCTTTCTGCTCCAACACTTCGAGGTCAGTTTTCCTGGGCGGCAAAACCTACGTTTGGCCGAAGAGAGTGGTGATCGTTGGTTATGGGGTTGCCGCCCATGGAAATCGTCCATCACCTCAGATGGCAGACTTGTTGGAGAAGTTGGACAGGGAAAGTAACTTTTCTAACAAATGGGAGGTTCGCTTGCAGGTGCAAATGCACGTGTCGAAGCTTCCTGACATTTGTACATTTTTCATTCATTTCAGTTTCACTCAATTGACAATTGAGGGCAGTGACAGTGACAGTCATGGATGGAAGCCAAGGGAGGCCCAAGGAGGAAGGTTTGGCAGAGAATGTGGCCTATACCAGCATATCATGGAACAGGTGCCTTGTCGAACAGGTGTTGCTTCATGAATCGAGTTGTATAATAATTAATTTTAATTTTAATAAGAATTCACCCTAATGACCGAGGTGTATCGTCATCCCGCAGCGCTCAAGACGCTCCACTTCATCCTCAATTTTCCCGACAAGTTGCTCAGGCTTCTCGAGTCTTTGAATGCTGAAGGTCTTGGAGGTTTTTTTAGGTTCAGGGACTAGGATAATTATAACCCTCCTATGTGGTCCTTCAATTGTCAGGATCTGCTGTTCGGCGGGATGGCACAGGACGTGTGCCATGATTGCGTTGGTCATGGCTCTCTTCCAAGTCGCTGTGCTGAACTGACTCATTTGTCCAGGTGACACTCAATTGTCTAGTTTTTGTAAGTATATCAGCTGTCAGTGCAGGTCTGTGGCATCGAATGCGTCGCATGGTTGGACACTTTAGTCCAGAGGCACAGAAAGGACGATTACAGAGCCATCGCTGCCGATCAACAGCACATTATCGACTTCGCCAATGGCCATCACGTGTCGCGGAGCAGCTTCAGATTTTCGAATGTTGTTTTGAGGTTGTAATATGTAAATATTTAAATGCAATCCATGGTTCTGCCAAAGTGTGCATCAGGAAGCAGAAGCATCTCCTGCCGTCCATTGGTTGGTCGTCGGATCAATGGAAGGCAGCATTGCAAAATGCTTGGAACACATGGACCGACCAATTTGCAAATCAGACTGATTGGGCTTCCATTCAGATGTGCCTGGACTCGAATTCCGCATTGATTTGATTTGCAGTCTGCCCTGTAGTGCCAACGCGTACCACTTTGACTCAGGAACTTGAAAACAAGAATGGTCAAGGACAAGCAGGAACATCCCGTGGACCTACCTGCCACGACATTTCAGAAGCTTCAGAAGCGAAATCAGAAGACGAAGTCAAGAGGAACTGCTGCAGCAGCAGCAGCTGGGAGCAACACTACATTTTCGCTTCAGCTTCAAGAATAAATAATAACATTTCAGTCGCAATTGACATCCTCAATTGAGTGTGTGTGTGTGTGTCGTCTTCAATGCAAAGCATTTGAGGTGCTGCCAGATGCCAAAAGAGCACGAACTGCTCCGCTTGAGATCCCGGAGACAGATGTCGATGACGCCACAAGAGGGGGTGGTGATCCTACATCCTCCAGTTCTGCTACTCCGGCTTTTGCCAGGCCACCAGTGCCCGCTCCAGAGTGGACCAATGATCCAAAAGCATCACCAGCAAAAAAAACAAAAGCCAGCGCAACAGCATCAAAAGACGAGCCAGGGGCAGGACCAAAAGCAGGAGCACCACCAAAAGCAAGACCGCCAGCAAAAAAAGTGGCATCAGCAGAAGTAGGGGCAACGGCAAAAACAAAGCCAGCACCTCTTACGAAAAGCATGCCTGCAAAGCCGAAAAAGCCGGCTGCAAAGCCGCCAAAGCCGCCAGTGTAAGTGGTTGAGGTTGATTCTCCAGAGGGTGTGCCGGAACCGAAAGATCCGCCCAAGTCTCGTCCGTTACATCCAAGGGATGCACGTCTGGCAGCAACACATCCAGTTCAACCTGCCTTTCCTCCGCCGGCGCCAGCAAACCCAACACTTCCGATGATGACGGCATGGGAGATGGCTGTTGGGGAATGCTTTCAGACATTCCTAGGTGGTGGTGCTGCACTGCCGAGCAACAGTTCAGCTCGATCTTCAATTGAGAACATGGTGTCGAGTTTGGCGAATGCTGTGTGGGAGAGGCTGCAGCCAAAACTTGTGGAACTTCAATTCATGTCAACACTTGAGCACAGTGTTCCACTGGCACCTTCCGGTGCGCTGGCGGACCTCACAGCGTGGAATCCGAGTCTTCCTGAGAAGTCGGAGCCCTACAAGGCTGAGCAGGAGCAAATCGACCAGGAGGCGGAAGAGGAGGAAGCAGAGGAGCACGATGAAGAAGTAGTCCCTACCATCGACAGAAACCCTGTGATGCAGCCTGGCAGGGATTTGCATGCAGTTTACAGTGTTGTATTGTTTATATGAAACAGTTGAGGCTGGAGATCTTGGAGGGCTACTATATCCCTGAAGATGTCAAGGACCAGTTCTTCCACGTGGCCACCCATCACAATTTCCCATTGCAGCGCCAGGTCAAGCTCATGCCGCTTGAACTGTTCATTGGTTCATTGTGCACCATTACATCCCTTTAAGACTCAGACTCACATGAATCAATCAATATCTGTAGTGCCAAGGATGAACATGCTGATGCGCCATGGTGAGAGA